CGTTAAGTCCAGCACAGAGGTACCAAGGTTGGTACAGTCATAAGGATTCAAGGTCAGAAAAGGTATGCTTTCAGAGAGGTTTGAGGGACTATGTTGGCACTATGACAAACATGGACACATGAAAGCTCAATGCTGGAAACTTCAACACAGGGAAGATGCCACAGCAGGAAAGGCTGCTACCCAGAAAGGTTGTTGGAACTGTGGAGATCAAGGACATATGAGGAGCCAGTGTAAGAAGAATACCACCAATAAGTCAGCTTCTGGAAACCAGTAGTGGTTGGTGCTGAGGGACGCCCACCAACCCCCATTATGAAAGTCCCAACAGTTACGTGTAAAATGGCAAGCACACATAGTGTCTACATGACAGGAAAGCTGGATAGCCAAAGATGCAACTTTGTCATTAATTCTTCGTCTCAGCAAACCCTTGTGAGTATCAAGGTGCTGGATCACAAAGGAGTACCAACAGATGTACAGAGGATCTGTGGTGTGACAGGACATTATGCAAGGTTGTGGGGACCAGTGTGGGTAACTATTGAGCTCATGGGCATGAAGAACAGACAGGAAGTATACTTGGCTGACATTGAAGACTAATGCATATTAGGGTTGGACTATTTAATACCGAGGAAGTGTGTAGTTAACTTTTCAATAAAATGACGAAATAAAATGTTCCTGCATCTGTTGTTTTGTATGTCATAGCACTTAAGTCAACTACAATACCCCCTATGTCAGAGAAGATAATTTGGGGTACAATAAAAGAACATCCCCAAGGAAGCTTGATGCTTGTGGAAGTAGTGGAAGACCCATCCAGGCCAGCAGATGTGAAGATTGGAAGGTCACTTGTGGCAGGTCATCAAGTAGTACCCATAACAGTACCCTTAAGGAAGGGGAATTGTTGTGTGTGTGCCAGGAGGTAGAGCCAGTCAATGTTAAGGCAAGAAATACGACCATAAAGAAACGAAATCCTCTCTCAGAACATTTAACTGACCTCTATAAGAATAGCATAGTCCATTTGTCATAATCACAGGCTCTTCAGGTTAGAGAACTCTTAGCGAATTATGCAGAAGTCTTTTCAAAAGGAGATCATGACCTCGGCTGCACAGACCTCGTGGAGCACAAAATAAACACAGGCAATCACCGTCCAATAAAGATCTCTCCGAGGAGAATAACTCTGACAAAGCGATAAGAGATGGAGAAGGTTATGGATGGTCTATTTAAGGAAGGGATAGTCCCTGGTCAGCTCCCGTCGTGTTAGTCCAGAAGAAAGATGGGACACAACGTTGTTATGTGAACTTCAGGGCTCTTAACAGTATAACTGAAAAGGACTGATACCCGCTGCCAAGAAATGATGATACTCTTGATGCCCTAAGTGGAGCCAGTGGTTTTCAACTCTGGATTGAAAGTTGGGTTACCATCAAGTGAAAATAGCTGAAGCAGATAAACCTAAGACTGCATTTAGTTATGTCCAGGGTCTCTGGCAGTACTGTGTGATTCGGGCTTAGCAATGCTCCAGCAACATTTGAGAGGCTGATGGAAAAAGTACTGGAAGGCCTACAATGAAGGATAGCCCTAGTGTACCTGGATGATATCATTGTGTTTGCAACAACGTTTGATGAGGAAATGTCCTGGCTAGAAGAAATATTCAAGCGTTTGAAAGCAGCAAACCTCAAACTCCAGCCCAATAAA